AGAGAGAGAGAGAGAGAGAGAGAGAGAGAGAGAGAGAGAGAGAGAGAGAGAGAGAGAGAGAGAGCAGAAGAAGCAGCTGCAGCATGAGGGGGGTGTCTTGTTATGTTTTAATAGGTTGGTTTTCTGTTTGATTTGGGACCATCTGGCAACTAGAACTGACAAAAGCTGCAGCGTCATGTGATTGTGTTTGTTCTTCACTGCGTCAGGTCTATCTGTGTTTCTGTCTTTTCTCAACCTCCCCCCAGCTGCAGCGTTTTTGACAGCAGCAGAAGGCTCATCTCATGATGCCGTTGTGCGGCTGACCAAGAGATCAAGTCCAGACGCAGCACGTCCAGGTGTGTCCTGTGCCGAAGGTGCCAAGGCATCACCACTTGTTTCACGGTTTTATTGTCACAAAAAGCCTGCCATGATGAATGGACACGTCAATGATGAGAATGACGTGTCGTCGACGTCAACAGAGACGATGCCAAGCAATCGGAACCCAGAGCCACAGCAACCAGTGTCTGCATCGTCGTCGTCCACAGGGGTCTCGTCGGCTTCACGAGGCCTGCCGAAGACGAAACTAGCTCGATTGTTGTTTGGGAAAAACAGCATGCATGAAATTCTCGGGGGGGGAAACCTTGCCAATCTTTTGCTGTGGCGCTCTGCCCTTCTCAGCGGGGCCGTTTTACTCTTCTCCACTGTAGTCTGGGCCTTCTTCTTCTTCTCGAAATGGACAGTGGTCTCACTTATCTCGACCATACTTATTGTCAGCCTGACGAATGCGACACATTTTATCGACCATCTGCCTGATATTCTTCCTCACCTGTTGTTGGAGGAAGCTGAGGTGAAGAGAATAGCGACAAATGTCCGAATTTTCACGAACGATGTTCTCGCGTTCGTTCATTGTCTCGCTGTGGGCGGCAACCTGAAGCTGGTCTTGAAAACCATGCTGTATCTGTATATTGGTGCGAAGCTAGGTGCTTGGTTCGACTTCTTCACCCTTCTTTACGCGCTTGTGGTGCTGTCATTTGTGGTGCCAAAGCTGTACGAGATGTACGAGACTGACGTAGATCGTGTGGCGGACCTTGCGTACGAGAGATCGAAGAACTACTACAGCCGCGCTGGCAACGCAGGGAGACGGGCGGCGGCCGCCGCCGCAGCTGCAAAGGCAAAGGCACAGTGAGTTGCATTCTCAGCAAGCGAAAAGAAACTGCACGTGCTCACGCGGATTTCAATAACACTGTTCATCGACAAAGGGCAAAGAGGTGCGCTCCTATCCCGAGGAAGTATTTCACAGTCTTCACCACACTAGTCTGGACCTCCTGCTTCTTCTCTAAATGGAGATGGATATCAATTGCTGCGAGCATCGTCGAGGTTAGCCTAACAAAGCTAAGAAAGAAATTCTGGACAAATCTGCCTCCAATTCTTCCTCACCTCTTGTTGAAGAAAGCCGGGGTAGGCGAGGTGAAAAGATTTTGCCACAAATTTGCGGATTTTGGCTGACGATGTTCTTCGCGTCTCTTTGTTGTTTTAGCCATGTGCGGTACCCTGAATCTGGCCTTGAAAATCATGATCTATCTGTATATGGGTGCAAAAATGGGTGCATGGTTTGACATCGGCACCGTTCTTTACGCACGTGGTTTGTGGTGCGAAAAGTGTACGAGACTGATGTAAGGTCGTGTGGCGGACATTGCTTATGAGAGTTCCAATGAGTGTCCAGACAATGTGCTGCTCAGCAAAATGCCCACAGTCCGAAGACAGGCTGCTGCTGCCATGGAGGCGAAGAGAAAGGCAGAATGGTTTGCGTTCTTAGCAAGCAAAAAGAGACGGAAATCGCTCTCGCCTGAGGCGGTATTTCACACAGGCACAGTTTTTGAATATTCCTTTTGTATGGTAAGAGACCATCCCGAGCAATTGAGAGTGCAGGTGGGTGGTCACCTGACAACGTGTGCATATCAACGCGTGTGGGCAGAGAGTGTGTTTTCACTCACACATACACACACACACACACACACACACGCATAGAGAGAGAGAGAGAGAGAGAGAGAGAGAGAGAGAGAG